TTCTTTATGGTTCAGATATTGTTAGAGGAGAGATAATTCTCCACTTTTGTAACGGATTCCCTTTTCGAAGAAGAATTTTTCTTTTGCGCAACCCTTTCTCTTACGAAGAGGATCTCTTTGACGACGATTCTATGTCTCGTTCGTTGTAGTAATTCCTAATATTCCCGTGAATGCCCAATGGGCACAGAATGGTATCACTGTGGCCGGAGGAAATCGACAAGGTAATGGAATCAATCAACTCTCAAGCCCATGTGGTTTGTATGTTGATGATGATCAAACAGTCTATGTCGCTGATTATGACAATCATCGTATTGTGGGATGGAAATGGGGTGCGACGAGTGGCCAAGTGGTTGCCGGTGGAAATAGACCAGGAAGTGGGGCTCATCAGTTGTCTTACCCAAGAGATGTGATTGCCGACAAAGAGAGAGATAGTCTCATCATTTCCGATACTTCGAATAGAAGAGTGGTTCGATGGCCTCGTCGAAATGGGACAAGTGGAGAAACGATCATCTCGAACATCGATTGTTGGGGGCTGATCGAGATCATTCAGTGTACGTGTCTGATTGGGGAAATGATCGTGTGATGAAATGGGTGGAAGGTGCAAAACAAGGCATTGTCGTGGCTGGTGGTCAAGGAGGAGGAAATGGTCTTACAGAATTGTCATATCCTAAAGGAGTCGTTGTCGATCAATTGGGCACTGTCTATGTGGCTGATTGGGGGAATGCTCGAATCATGCGTTGGTCCAAAGGAACCACACAGGGAAGTGTCATTGTTGGTGGAAACGGTGAAGGAGGACAATCAGACCAACTCAATTGGCCCTTCACTTTGTCATTCGATCGACACGGCAATCTCTATGTCGGCGATAACGGAAATCATCGAGTACAAAAGTTCGACCTGGAATGCAATAAATGAAGAAGGACTACGAAACGGACAAAAAACTAATTTTTTTTCATTCAAAGCGTTCATGTAATCATGCAATCATCGGCATGCCGTCGGAATCCCTGAATTTGATTAAAGATTTCTAATAAAACAGCTTGATTTTTTTGTTTGTATAAGCATAAAAGTGAATCAACCCGGGAGCCCGGCACACCGCATTTTCAAGGATTCCGCATCCTTGAAATATTGGAAATTCTCTTTTTATTAAAAAGCAATGAAAATCTTTAAAAAAACTTCAAATTTAGATGTTTCCAAGTATGCCTGACATTATTCAACACCCAAGGTACTCTAGCCGCTGTGACGATACTTGTAATACTCGTTTTTCGTCGGTTTTTCAGGAATCTCCAATAGTAGAACTGCAGAGGGTAGAAGAATTCCACGGATTCCAAGGATTCCATGACTTAACTGGTTGCATACTCTTCAGAATAATGAAGATCATGTTGGAATCTATCAGATTCCTATGATTCCAAGACATCCACCATCGGAAAGCATAGGAAACCCTACAGATGCGAAACCCAGCTATACAGCCCTTCAGGCTTAACAAGTGAAAGTAAGGATTCCAGGAATTCCGTGAGTGGAAACGTTTTGTGGTCTTCATAGCGATTAAGGGCAACCTGGAATCTCCCAGATTCCGAGAATTCCCAGGCCGCCAACCTTCGGGATCCTAGAAATGCTAAAACCGCCTATAGAGTCCTTCAGCTTTAGGTCGTGAAAGCAAGGATTTCAAAGATTCCGTGAGTGAAAACGTTCTGCGGTCTTCGTTAGAATGAAGGCCACGCTGAAGCCTATCGGATTCCAAGAATTACAAGACGTCTGCAATTGGAAAGTCTTGGAACCCTAAAAACCCTGAAAAGGCGTATGGAGATCGATAGACTTGGTAAGCTTAAGCAAGGATTCCCTGAGTGGAAACGTTCTGTGGCCTTCGTAGTGATGAAGGGCAACCTGGAATCTATCAGATTCCAAGAATTTCAAGACATCCAAGGCTAAGAAGCCTAGGAATGCTAGAAATGCTAAAACTGCCTATAGAGCCCTTCAGGCTTAGGACGGAAAAGTAAGAATTTCAAGGATTCCATGACCTGAACCGTTCTGTGGTGTTCATAGTGATAAGATGCACGCTGGTGTCTGTCAGATTCAAAGAATTCGAGCACACCCAACTTTGGGAAGCCTTGGAATTGTGCAAGGGTGTGGGTGTGTAGGTGTGTGGGTATGGGTGTGGGTGTGGGTGTGGGTGTGGGCGAGTTTGGATTTGGATGTGGGGCTGCGCATTAATCACCAACATCGACCGAGACCCAGACTCACACCCTTGTACTAATAGCAGAAATGTATATGCTTCACGAATTTCAAACAAGCAAAATACATTTCAGAAATTACAGTATCATTTATTTTTCAAAATCGAATACTATTTCATTTCGAATGAGCAAAAACCTTTCCTTTCGTGAAAGCTTAAATGGAAATGATGATGAAAACGATTGTTTCTGATTAAAATCCAATGGAAGTGAAGCATTTTACTGCCGGTGGTCATAAGTTCGAAACAACTGGTTTATTGAAGAAAAATTAAAAATACAAAGACTTTCTCTACAACGAGAGAAAAATGATAGATTATCGACGTACTTATTGTAGGCATGAACATTTATTCATATCCATCAACTTTAAGAATCATATATGCATCAAAATGTTTCGTGTGTTTATACATAATACAAAACTACGAAGAAAAGATTGGGATTCTGTCATTAAATGTTCACTTGTACTGTTTGTAATTGAAAGTATACTTTTTAAAACGAATATAATTATTAGTTAATGTACGTTTAGTCTTACTTATTACTTTCAATTCTATTTTATGATAGACAAATGGATAGTAGAACACTAATCCAAGTGGAATAATAAGAGTTACAACAAGATATTCAGTACTCAGCGCAAAAACCAAATAGATTGATATAAGAACAATAACGATAATTACTGGAAGAGTAACTTACACACATGTAAGAAAAAATCTCATGTCGACTTGTTTTCTCTAATATGCGATCATAGACACTAACACTTATGAATGAAAAAATTGATTATTAATAGGTAAACTTGTAAAAAAAAAGAGTAAACCAACCTCAAGGTTCACACCGAAAACTGTACTCTGAAAAAAAAAGGAGGTTTGCAGAGCCCCTCAAAAAGGTTCTATAGATTTCTAAAAGCATCCAAATGTGTCCAAAGTCTCAAAAAACGGATAAAAAATTCGACAGAACCTTTTGAGGGTTCTGTCTTTTACCCAGTAGCAGAACCATCTCTTACAGAACCTTTT